CAGCTGCGTTTATGTATTAAAAATTCCACATAAATACTGGTACTCTTTTTCACAGGAGCTAGTCTCATGGAGACTTTCACTTTGATAAAGTCCAAGTAATTAATATTTTGAATCTAATGAAATGTTTGATGTTATACCACGTATTAGTAAAATAGAGAAATAATTAATAATTGAGTAAAAACAGACAAAGTTTAAAGCCAAACTGAGTCTTGGTTGTGCTCTGAAGCACTATATACTTAAAGCTAAAATAATGCTATCTCTTCCCAAACTAGCGAATTAAAATTCTGTGGGGAATACAGGGTTATCTGGGAGAGTGTTTTGTCTTGGTGACAAATTTTGACTTGCTGTTTGTAATGTATGTAGACCATTCTGATCCACTGGAGAAGCCAAAGTAAATGTTCAAGTCACTTCTACTGCTAATAGATTTAGAATTGACATCTTGAATTCTGGCCTAAAACATCTGCTGAAACTGGCAGCCCCTTCAATCAACCCCTTAAATTCTTCATGGTCGAGAAAAGGCAATAAAGTCCTGCTTTTTGCCTAGCTGTTCCAATAAGTGAGAAAAATGTGTGTCGTTTTGCCTAAATTATCCAGAATGACTGTTACTATTGTCAGTAAAATTTCACCCCAAAAAGGCTGGCTGCTTTTCTGACGCGTGCACACAACAGATAGGGGCAGGAGGCAAAGAATGACGACAAGGGAAGAGAAACAAGGTCAGAGGACTGTTAAAGCCGGAAGAAACAAAGAAATGGTCTACTTCTGAAACAAAGCTTCCGTTTATGGATGAGGAAACTGACCTGCCCTAGGGCAGCAACACCTTGTGCATATCTGGTACTTTGTTAAAACTGGGAATTGAAGGAGGTCTCACTTAAAGGGGGATCAGAAAAATGATCTCGCATGGGAAATTCACTTACAATTCTCCCCAGTCTCTCTGCCCTTCCCCGTCTCTAATCGTAGCCACCCACCACTTTGGGACGCCACCACTTGCTCACCCTACCTGCCCACCCTACCTTATGAACACCGTGTCCTGAGACTTGTGCCCGCCAGCAGTCCCCGGGGAGAATAACCTAGCCAGCCACACACTGGGCCCCAGGGGCAGTTTAGTTGGGTTTTTATTCTAGACTCAGCTTCTCAAACTTTATTTAAATATATAAGTCCATCACCCGGGGATGTGCAAAATGCAGACTCTGATTCAGTAGGTTGGGCCCAGGGACTGAGACTGCATTTCTAACACGCTCCTGGGTGGAAGTGATGCCTCTGGTCCAACACATTTCTGGAGAATGCCTTCCCCTCCTTTTGGAAGCATATGTGAATGCTGCTGCAACCTGGAGATACAGATGTGTGTGCTTATGTGTACATGCATGCAGGGGTGCGTGTGTGTGTGCATCCATACCATGTTCAGCAATTTGCGCACATCTTATTTGTATCTCATAATTAACCAAATGAATTAGGAACTTTGAGCTTTGTGGTACAAATGAGGAAAGTGAGGCTCAGAGAGATTCAAATCTTGCTCAAGTGAGAGGCAGAGCTGAAATATATTTTTACTGGTGGTTCCCAGGGACTAACTCAAATACACGTCCCCTTTTCTACAAGATTGGGGCATATTTGTTACCCAAGGAGCACACTCTGGCTATGCAAAGGCTGTCATGCCATCATCTCTGCTTTCTGCTCACCTGCCTTAGGTGTGGGTGCCTGGGGCTCTGGGTGGGGAAACGTATGCCACTGCTCATCTCAGGTGAAGCTGCACACAGGTGAAGTTTATGAGCCCTGGCAGGTGAGTCTCAGTTCCCTACATCGTTGGATCCAGTGTCAACGCACCAGGTAGGTCTGAGTTCAGGACACACAGTGGGTCAACATCAGCAGCACAAGAAAGAGCTTTGAAGGGATGGGGGTGACTCTACATTCAGATCGAAGTCTCGGGTTCCGGGTCTTTCAGTGGCCTTTTCTCAGAGCGTTTGCATTCTGGGCGAGTTCCAAACAGCATGGCCCCTTTGCTTCCTGCCTCCTCACCTCACACGGGTGGAATGAGCACTCCATTGCACCTGTTCTTCTAAGCTTTGACACTGTATTTTTTTAAAACAATGAGAACAATTAGGTTTTCCACAAACTTCATCTTCCATATTGCCAAGCTGTAGTTTATCCTAGCCTTTGTTGAAATTGTTGAAATTCATTAGAGGTCAAGTATAAAGGATTAAAGGACTTGGTTTTGGTCCTTAACCCATAATGCCATGGGGCAGGGGGGAGTAGGGCTCAGAGAAACAAACATTTATATACAGGCCATGGGCAAAAGTAGGTTTACAGTCGTGAGTATGTGGAACAAGTGTTTATCCTTGTATTATTACATATTAATGTATTATTTCCCATACAAACAACTGTGAACCTACTTTTGCACCACCTCTATACCCATTCTGTGATGCTCTGTTCAATTCCTCTATACCATTTTGTGTTTCGACTAAACACCTAGTTGATTCTGACTTACCTCTGGTTAGTCTGGATGCTTCCGTCCCTGGATACAGATGGGTTGGTAAGGGTTTTGATGGTAGGAACCACATGTTTATTTTGTGTGCCTGGAGTGCCTAACCTAGTACTACATCTATAGCAGAAGTTCAACAAATGTTTGATGTTGAAAGAATGAAAGATCAAAGACAGAAATTTAAGAAACCTGTAGGTATCTCAAAGTGCACATTGAGGTAAGAACTGCCACATGTGTGGGCTGGCTCTACAAGAGGTGGAAGAGCTACGCCATCACCCCTGCCCTCCGGGACATTGCCTCCTTGTTAGAATTTTGCAGTGAAGAATTTTCAGCTGGTTTTTGGGGTGTGAGATCATGACAGGTAACTGGTCTCTTCTCTGAACTCAGTACTTTTAGCCAGAAACACCCCCTCCTGGGAGGGGTCGGGCATGGGGCCTGGAGTCCTGCTGAGCCTCTGAGGCAGCCCGTGCTCAGTTCTCCATCATCCCAGTACAGAAGCCACGGAGCCCACCGAGGCTGAGAGAGGAGGAATGGTGGCTGGGTGGCCAGAGCCAGCTATTTCTGGGGCACACCAGCATTTGTGGGATTTTCCCAAGAGGTAGTAACTGGTTATTCACAACTGGAGAAAAAAAGTTTCCTTCATTTGGACCAGAAAGGGAGGGTTGCTAGCTTCAGTCCTGTTTAGCTGAGGTGGGGTCTCTATTCCAAGTCTGGGCTTTTAGGGCTCCCTTGGCACTGTGTGTGGCTTGGTGGGGAGGAGATGATCCTGTCCCTTGTGATCCAGCTCCGAGTTCCAAAGTTACAACTGTCCATCCCCCAGGTGCCCTGAGAATGTGCGAGGGGCAGGGTGAAGGGAAGTGTAACTTCCCTTCCTCTGTCCCCTGTGGGCACAGAGCCATTATGTGAAATTCCAAAATATGCTTCCAGGTAACAGTGAACCACAAAAACCGTTGTTATGCTCATAATCACACAACGAAGGCAAAAGCCACACCAGATATCACTTTTTAAATATCTTGTACCATATGGAGTCAGGTTCACAGAAGTTTTATGTCCCTTTTACAAATATCAACTGCATTCACAACAAATACTTATAAATCTCACATAAAACTAATAGACAAGCCTATCTTAGTGTAAGGAACTCTAAGAAATGCTCAATTCACTGGTAATTTGCTTTAAAGAAGCGAGAACTTCACTTGATATGGGTCAGATATTGTGGTACGTATTTTATCTATCACTTTTATTCAATCTTCAGTCCTCACAATAGCCCTCTGAGGTGGGTCATGCAACCACCATCCCATTTTAAGGATTAGGGGACTGAGGCTTGGAGAGGCGGGATAAGGTTGAACAATAGCGAGAACCACAGTAAGTGCTGCCTGGGGAAGCTGAGGTGGCCTCCCATCCCTGGGCTCACCCTGAGGCTTCCAGAGCAGCCTTGCACCTGGCAGCTGTGGAGCCTTGAGCACTGTGCCTTCAGGAGATACTTCTGCCGTTTCCTTAAAGCCTGCATCAGTGTGTATGGCATCAGAGGAGAAAAGGTGGGGAAAGGAGATCCAACAATCCTGTAGCTTTGGGCAGCATTTTAATCTATGCAGAGCACTTTACCTTTACCTCACTCAGTCACCTCAGTCATCCTGTGACATGAAAAGGGGTCGCTAACATAACAGTCACTGTGGCTCTGTGACAATGAGGCAGAAAAGTGCTATCAGGTATGCTTGCATTACCACTATACTTGCCTTTACATTTTTTTTAGCTCTTCCCAGAATTTTTATTCTACAAAATTTCATTATTCAACACTGTCCTTTAAAAGGTGGCAGGCAACCTGGTATAATTCTCCTCAGTTACAGACGAGAACATGAAGGTTGACAAGGTTCTGCCCGTGTGGCTCACCCTGCTCCGTGTGGGCCAGGGAAGGACCAGAATCCTGGTCCTGTGCAGGTCTGCATCTGCCCATCCCAGCACTCAGGAAAGTCTGGGGCAGAAATGAAAGAGAGGTCCCAGTTCCCGCCCAACATGTCAATCCGAATAAGCCCAGCTCCATGCCACTGTTAGAAAAGATTATCTTTTGTAACATCATTCATGAAACCATCCTATTAACTCCTGGTTTCTTTCTCAAAAAAGCAGAGACAGTCTCTCAGATCTACAGAATACCTTGATATCTTGATTATGTATAGTTCGTTCTTTTTCCTTAAATTGTGAATAGAGCACATGTATATATAGGAGAATGCAAAAACATGTACGTGCAGTGTAAAGATTGATTATAAAGGCTAATTACTATTTCTGTTTTAAGAAATAGAACATTATTAACTTCCCAGGATGCCCCATGCTCCCCCAAACACAACCTCCATCGTGCTTTTTTTCTAGCTTTTCTTCATAGTTTTACCCATTATGTATGCACCCCTAAAAGATAGTTTTGCTTTGCCTGTTTTGGAATGGTCATGAACAGAGACACCTCATATGGTGTGTGTTAGTTTATTCTCTGACCGTGTTTTTCTGACTTGGCTCTTCAGGAACCCCTGAGCCAAGCATCATGGCGGCCAAGCCCAAGCTCTGGTACTTCCGAGGCAGGGGCAGGATGGAGTCGATCCGCTGGCTGCTGGCTGCAGCTGGAGTGGAGGTTGGTTCCTGATTGGGAAAAAGGAAGGAGGGTACTTGGGGTGAGACTGAAGTGAGCCTCTTCCCTCTTCAAAATTCAGAATGGTGCCTCTAAGCCAAACTGACTCTTTCTCTTTCCCACTGTCTTCCTGTGTAAGAAGTGAGGAAAGGATCATCATAGTCTTCTGTTTAAGCAGGGATGGGAGGGTAGAGGCCAAGGGAGGTGTTCTGGAAGCTTTGTTGGGGCGAGGAAGATCTTGGTGGATCATAAGATAAAGGTGAGAAAGGAAACCCACATCTGAATCACTTCTTTCATTGGGACCGGCTGACTTCCTGGGGTCATTTCAGCTCTGCCTAAGCATCTCAGTAACATTGATCCAACGGCTGCCAACTAGAATCCTAGGCCCAGCTGCAGTCTGGTCTCCCCTGAACCCTCCTCTGAAGGGTCGCCCCATGGTGATCTTCCCTTAACTCTGAATTCCTCTCTGCTGACTTTTCCATAGCTTTTCACAAGTGGAATTGTCTGGTTTCATGCAGGTGAAACCTGCATGATTTCTTCTTCCCTAGTTTAATGCCATCTCCTCTAGGCTCATGACCTTCTTTGTTTTTTTCTTTTCCCTTTAAGAACTTCTCTCCTAACACTGCTTACCTTCTCCTACCCCCATCTCAGTGTCTGGGAGACAAAAATGTCACTCTTTTTCACAAAAGCTTAGAAACTCATCAATAAGTAATGATAACCCCATCTGAGTAATGATCTTTGGACCCCTTTCACTGAACATATGAGCATCAAAGAGAAATTTGATTTGATCTGATATGGAGGGAGAATGACACAGAAGAGAGAGGAAGAAGAAAAGAAAAAACTGAAGAGGAGAAATCATCAGGGAAATTGGAGAAAAAAACTAGAGTTTGGAGAGAAGGAAGAGCTAAGGCGAAGAAAGAAAAAATATGAACAGAGGCTGTGGGATGTGCCTGAAACTGCCAGGACAAAAAGGGCTGCCAGTCCGAGCCAGTCTCAGGTGATCCACACACACACACACTGTACCAGAATTTTCAGCTGTGCAGCAGTTGATAGCTTTGCATTCCTTTTAAACCTTTTCTTTCTGGCAGCCATTGGGCATTGTATACTCTGAGCATTTCTCTCTCTTCCTTCCTTCCTTCCTTTTTTCCTCCTTCCCTCCTGGCCTCCCTTCCTTCCTTTCTTTCTTGATCTTAAACTTATAGCAATGTCTCTTCCTTTATCTAGTTTGAAGAAGAATTTCTGGAAACAAGAGAGCAATATGAGAAGTTGCAGAAGGGTGAGCCTAGATTCATTCAATGCATCTTATGGGAAGAAATAGAAAATTTGTTTCTGGAAATATTCATTTCATTCTAGAACACAGCACTTTAGAATGACAACTATTGGGAAAGGCGTGCAGTGTGACTGCTAACACCAACTGCCTGTTCACTGTGTCCCTGGCACAGAGGTAAACTCGTCATCTGCATTGTCTCTTTAGCCTTCATAAAAGCTTATCAAGTAGGTTAGGACCCAGACCTTTATTAGGTAAGACAGAGGAGCATGTGTTGGTTCAAAACTCCCCATCGCACTGAAGCATCCTTGCATTCTTAAATAATGATCCAGAAAGTAGAAGGGGAGGGAGAAAAAGGGAGAGGAATTTGGGCTAAGATGTTCTCTAGTTCTCATTGTTCGTATCCACTTGTTCTTGGCAGTTTTAACAGATTAACAGAAATCATTTTCTCAGGTCACAGTTTTAGAATCAAGATAATAGAAAAGATCCAAATATGTTTAAATTTGGATCCAAAATGTCTTTAATCGCTACAATCCTCAGAAAAATTTCTCACACTAAGAGAAAAGACTAGCACTTTCAAATTTCTAACAGCCATAACGTTATTTTTCTTATCTAAGGAAACCTGGGTGTCTGTTGCCGATAAACAATCATGAAATTGACAAGTTATTTTTTAAGGGAAACATTCAACCAGTAGTCAGCAGTCCTGCCATTTACAAACTGTATGATTTTGGGCAAGGCCTTTAACTTCTCTGCATCCTGTCTCTTTAAAAAATATATATTTTTAAATTTAAGTATAGTTGACATAAGCATCCTCTTTCCCATAAAATGAAAATAATCTGTATGGTCATAGATTGCAATGTGCCCATTGATCTTACTGAGCAGAGAAGACCCAGTTACCCCTTCCCTAATTCTAGTCTAGGAACTTTATTATCTGGAATCCCCCTGAAGCTCCTCTTCTTTATTTCTGCCCACTTGACCACACATTAGGACAGTCACTGGTGCAGGGTAGGGATTCAATACTTACATACATATTGAATAGATGACTATATCTCCATCATCTCCTCCATGACTACTCTGGCAGCAGTGCTCCCTGAGAGCCTCTGAAATCCTCCAGGCCTCTCTGAGACCGTGATGCTGCAATTGTACTTGGACACCCTCCTGGCCGTTGCTGATACCTGTGAACAGAAGGCAGAGAGGGACAGCAGAAGGATCACTGGCCCAGGAGGCAGCAGGCCCACTTCTGCTGGCTTAGCTGTCCCTGACTCTGTGAGTTTGGGCAAGCCACACGTGCCTCCCTTGGTCTCTACCCAATCATCGTCTAATATATGAATGAATTAAACTAAATGATCTCGAACGTGCTTTTCTGTACTCTTGACCTGAGGTTTTTAGAAAAGTCCTTCAGGAGATCATTGGGTCCTGGTTCTAATGGACATTGTATCATTCATAAGCAGCACAGCCCAGCTCTAGAAGCTCCTTCAATATTGAACAAATGTATAACATTTAGAAAAATGAGGTTTTGCAGTGTTAATAAGAGTATTCATATTTACAAAGCATGGCTACCAGCATGATCTTATTCCTACTCAAAGAAACTCACTAAGATGGGCAGGACTAGTGGTGTTCCAGAGCAGAAAATAAGCTCAGGGAAGTTGGAGACTTGCCTAAAGCCATCCACCTAGACAGGGACACTGGTCCCCTGAAAGCTGCTACTGGTCCCTGCACTGGCGTTCTCCCCACCACCTTCTGCCTCTAACTAATCAATGAGCAAAGTAGTGAAATGGAGGAGATCAGCTGTGGCCTTTGCACTAGTGCCAATGCACTAGTGAAGTCTGGTTCCTACTCCGGGTCAAGTTCCTTAATCTTAGTAGTGTATGGGTGTAAATGAAATGTAAAGGCTATTAATTTCTTCAAAGCCTCATGAAAAGAGCAGTATTTGTAGTATATATTTAAATATATTATTTATGTAGGTAGTCACTCACAAAGAAGAAAATTGGATTTTACTTAACATCGACTTGACAGTATTCAGTATTTTACTAATGTTATTTCATTTCCTCCTTTCAAAATCCTGCTAGATGTATATTATGATGATTTTAGAGAAAAGGAAGCTGAAGCTGTAAGTCGTTTACTTAAAGTCACATGGCTGGAAGGGGCTAAAGCAGACATACAGGCCCATGTCTGCCAGGGTTCTGACTGTCACATCCTCTGGATGCTGTGTGGACCCAGAGTGATGTGCTATGTGCTCTTTAAAGAACTCAGACTCCCAGACTCCACCCTGAATCAGAATATCTGGGAGGCAGGGTGAGTATTTTTAACAACCCACCTCCCCCAGGTGATTCTTACACACTATAAACTTTGGGAACCAGCCATAATAAATGTAGAAAGTCCGAAATATACTAACGACTATCCAACACACAAAAATGCATGAAACCATCCAGCAAATCTCAAATTTTCCATTAAGCAGATGGAAGGCATTTTCTCAAACAGCTGCACTCTTTAACTCACCATTTTGGATGGAAACTAGAAATCATCCAACAAAATTAGAAGTAGACACTTTTACAGGTTTACCACAGCCATAGAAGAAGAGTATCATAACCTTTCTTTGTTCACACCACAGATGGGTGCCTGCTCTTTGGCCAGGTGCCCCTGGTTGAAATTGATGGGATGATGCTGACACAGACTAGAGCCATCCTCAGCTACCTGGCTGCCAAGTACAACTTGTACGGGAAGGACCTGAAGGACACAGTCAGGTACCATAGGATTCATGCCCGTATTTCGTTCTTACCCAGGCCTCTGTAGGTGCCAACTGAAACCTGGTTCAGGTCTAGCCTTTCAGCCTGCACTGAGGGGAGAGGGCCAGGGAAACAAAGGGGAGATGTACTCTTGCTATACCCAGCATGACTTACGCTTAACTCTGAATAAATACTCTAGACTTCTCCTTTTACTACTCATAGCAGTCTGCATTCAACATTCTCAAGTTCTCTCCCCACTCCCAACAAAACATCTTCTCATTCAATGACCTGGTATTCTACATGAAGGTGGAAATTAATGACTTAGTAAATAAATATCAACTATTTGTAGCAATGACCTATTACCACAAACAATGCTGTGTAGTGTATCTTGAAGCCCCGTGACTTAATCAGCATTTATTATTCCTCACCAGTCTATGGGTCATCTGGGTGGTCAGCAAATCTGGGCCAGGCCTGACTTATCTTGGCCACACTCACTCATATGTCTGTAGTCAACGAGTAGTTAGCCAGGAGGCTCTGGTGTGGGGTGGTGGCTGCCAATTGATTGGGAAGCATCCTGAACATGCCTCATGACAGCTAGGCACGGCTCTAAGGACAGCGAAAGCACACAAGGCCTCTTAAGTTCTAGGTTCAAAACTACTACCTTATCAATTATACCTCATTCTAGAAGTGAAAGCAAGTCACAAGGGCAGCCCAGGAAACAGCCCCCATCTATTAATAGAAGAAATTGCCAAGTTTTATTACAAATACTAGAGGGTATTTGTGGCTATTTGGGTGATTAGTTTAATTTCATAGGAGCTATGTAAACAAGACAAAACAAAGACAACTATAAAATTTTATCTGAATTTGGGATCAAGGGGCATTTTCAGTGACCCCTTATACCTTGTCACCATAAACACAGCTGTGACACAGTGGTCCACAAATATAGAAGACATGGTAGAAGAAAGGCCCAAGTTCACTTGTTCAAAAAAGGAGAGAACATTACATACAAATGAGCAAACTTCATAAGAAGAGGCAGCTCACCCCAACATTCCCAGAGCTCCACCTTTAAAACTGACCTTGTCATTCTAACCTGCAATCCCAAGGACATATACCAAGAGAAGCAATTTCAGACACACTGTAAGAATAGAATCCTTTTATAACAATGTAAAGAAGTACTAACATGCAAAAGCAGTCTGTTTCTCGTGGTTTCAATGAGTGCTTTTTATTGTTTTTTTAAAATACCCATGGCTTTTTCCCAAGATATGTGTCCTAAGCTATAGATAGCATCATTAACATTCTTTTCTCCAGGTTAGGCATAAACTTTAATGGACTAAAGTAAGCAGGCTAGATGGCAATCTAACAGGAAAGAAAAAAGATCTGTAACTCAGGACAAGGAAAGCAAATTATCCTTTTATACATGTTAAAGAGGAAAACAAAGACCAAGAAGGTGATTCCACTTGTTGGACAATTAGCGCACAGCAGGGGATACAAAGACACACAGCCCCCAATGAGTGTGCAAACTGGTTGCAGAGACAACTAGCACAGCACAGCATGACTGGACCAATAGGCCAACAAGTAAGGGCAATGTATCTACTATTATTAGTTTTTTAATAACCTTTTAAAAAAAGTGTTTGCCAATAACAGGAGAAGTGTAAAAAGAATCAAAGGAGCTGTTTATCTGACTGACTAGGAAAGTAAACTCCTTTCTCAGCTGGCAGGTCAATGGAAGACGTGCTAAACTGTGTATGTGTCTTCCAAGTGAAAAGGTCCTGGTACGACTTATTTTGTGCTTTTGGTAAACTTCATTCAGTTCACTCTTTAAACTCCTAATAATCTAATTATTTGTTTATAGAAGATTTCCACTCAGAGGCACTCAATTCTTTCACATATCCCTTTATTCAATAAACATTTCCAGAGGCCCTACTCTACCATGTTTACTTGGCTGGTTCTTATTTCAGAAATCATTCCTGAGCATGGAAAACAAGAGAGGGGAAATCAAAAGTCATTTGCCCTAATTTCTAGTTACACCATAGAAGTTGCCGATTAGGAAACCCGTACTCAGGGCTGCTTCTGGGAATGAGTCACGCCGTGTTTTGTCAGGATCAACATGTACGCCGACGGCACTCTGGACCTCATGATGATGATTGTGCAGGCTGCCTTCAAACCCCCGGAGGAAAAAGAGGAGAACATTGCTTTCATTGTGACCAAAGCTAAAACCCGTTACTTCCCGGTGTTTGAAAAGGTAGGCAACAGGGATGGGGTCTGGACAGCGTGAGGCCTTGCCCAGCGGGGACCAGCAGTGTGGCGGGCCTCCTGATGCTCCTGTGACCCAGGAGATCCAGGCCCACAACAGCTGTGTGCTCAGATCTTGGGGATGTGGGGGACAGGGGGTGCAGAGCTGACTTTATAAGGACCTTCCAGTCTTCCTCTCGTCCCAGAGGGAAGGGAGAGACTGCGAGGGGCGGTCTGGACACAGCAATTCCTACATCCCTTCCCAGGCTGCAGGGATCTAGGACTTTGCTTTTCCAGTTGTTGATAAGAATATTTAGAAGAGTATCTGAGAACGCAGAGACCATATTAGAGCTTTTCTGCATTTGGACTAAAGCTTTAATAAGGATTCTAAAATAAATGACACGTATAATTATGGAATGTCCAACAAAACCAAATTAAAATAAACCAAGTGCACTGAAAGGCATTTCTGTTTGGATTGAAACAAACAAAACCGATCAGCTCAAGATCCCGTCATCTCGACTTCACTGTGTCAGAAACTTTTTAGGCTTAATACTGTCAGCTAATCATGCCTCAATCAAAAGACAAAGCCTCGTAGAGTCACAACTTTTCTGAAGTCATTTTGCAGTGAATACTAATTACAGAAGTCTCCTCAGTACCCATGTGTCTGGTGAGGTTCCCCACCGAGAGGGCCGCGTGCGATGTGATAAAGACTTGCTAGCAGAGGGTTCCCTAAATGCAGGTTTGCAGCACAAACTAATTCTGTGGCATAATTCAAAATAATCCCATCTTAGACTGAAAAAGAATCATTTAATTTTGACTGAACTATAATGAAGAGTTCTACCAGATCCTCAGAGTTCTAGACAAGCAAGTTCCTGTTTATTTGAGGATAATGTACAATGGTGTTCAAATATTTGCCATTAAAAAAACCTAGTCTGATTATTTGAGTTACAGCTTTATCATACTACAGATTTTTAAATCTGTGTGGCCTAATCCAGCAGTTTAAAATATCTAAATTATTTAAAAATATTTAAAGTAATTCATTTGCTCAAAGCAGCATCAAACTCAAATTCATTCATTGTAATTAGTCAATTCATAATATTTTAAGCCCCTTTTAATCGCAAGCTCCTTCTTCCCTCTCGCTTTCTCTCCTCTTTCCTCTAGCATTCATCTTGCTGAATGTCTCACAGTCTGGATTTTACCAATCGCAACCAACTCCTTTATTCCCTAGATTTTCTGTCAATTGGAAGTTAGAATTAGAAGCTTGACAGGTTCAGATTCAATGTCCTTTCGTCGGACCACTTCCCTGGTGGTGTCATGTAGGTCATTAGGAAGCACATATCTGGTTGTCATTCATCTTGTGACTAAGTGTGATTGATGATCAATGCCTAGAGCCACTGATTTATTAGTAGATACAAATGTTGACATCCCAATCCTGTCAGCCACTCTTCATTTGTCAGCTGGAATCCTTTTATAAAATGACTCTTCCCCTCATAATGTATTTGGTTACTCTGGGGTATGGTTTTTGTGGGAAAGTAGGATAAATGCTACTTTCTTTTTATTCACCAGGTTTGGGCTTCTTGTATCTTGTTGGTGACTTATTTGTACTTGTGTCTCCGTACACCGATGGGGTACACTTTCACTTAACCAGCTCTGGTCTCATAACAGAGTACCCCATTCTGGCACTTCACCACCCAAGACGTCTTGATAATCACCGAGAAACTTCCCCGGAGATGGTGCGGACTCACACCAATGTGTGGGAGTGTTGGTTTTATCCTGTCCTTGCGAGCATTCTGGAGGATTATCAAGAAAAAGATTCTTTAGCAAATTTGATCTGTATGTGCATTGTGTTTAGCCAGGCACAATAGTCTTTGCTTTTGTTTGATATTTTTTATTATTTTTCATTTTGCAGATTTTGAAAGACCATGGAGAGGATTTCCTTGTTGGCAATGCATTCAGCTGGGCAGACATACAACTGCTAGAAGCCATTTTAATGGTGGAAGAACTCAATGCTTCTGTTCTCTCGGACTTCCCTCTGCTAAAGGTCTGTGTGTTTCATTCACACAAAGCCCAGGGCGGGGGGAATGAATAAAAACAGAGACTGAGACAAAATGTGCCTCACAGGTCAATCTCAAAAGAAACTTAAGAAAACTGTTTTTAAAATACCATTAATTTCTTCATTTTGGTAATTTTTCTCCTGCTCATGTTATAAGATGGCTAGGAAATAAAATCTTACAAAGGGAGAAAGAATAGATTGTTTTGATTTCTAGCATAAACATTTAGTGTGTTTTTCATTTTTGTGGTGCTTTCCATTGTTTGTTTGTTTGTTTACTACTTGTAACGCCACCTCCCCCTCCCCAGGAAGTATGGATAATGAGTCTGTCTTTGTTGTTTCCTTCCCACCTACTGAACAACTCTGCTCCTCACAGGCCCGCTGATGCCAGGGCCTGGGCGTCCCTGGGTTGCCTGCAGCTTCTGCGTGGGTGGCTCTGACCTCTCTCTGAATCCTGCCTGCTCTGTTCCAATTCCTTAGAAACATTTTCTCTAACACGTGACCACAGGTTTTATAAAAATAGCCTTTTTCCTTATTACAAAAAATTGCAAGTTTATGTAGCTACATTATACATTTGTATAAACCAAAAGGCAAAAATCTAATAATCTAAATGTGATTACATCCTATTATTTTACCTTTTATTCCTCAAATAGGATCATACTAAACATTTCCACGGCCTGCTTTTAATATTGTTTCACTTATCAGAAATATATTTACATGCCAACAAATATTCTTCTGCAATATAGTTTTGTTTTGTTTTCATTAGGCAATAGAGTCACATCTTTCTGAGAAATCAGAACCATGTAAAAAGGGAAAAACTAAAGAAATCTCATGCCTACCACTGCCCTCCCACCCTTCCGCTCCCACGGTCCTTTTACTGCTTTCCTGTGTACGTGTCCACTGTTCCTATTCATGCAGACAGAGCAAGAATGAGTACATGTTTATGCCCTGTTTTACTTAAACAGTGCCCTGAGCATTGTGTCCCTCTAAACAATGCATTCCAGAAATTTTCTCCTGTCAGTGCAAGGACCTTCCCCTTTCCTTTTATATATAACATCATTATAAATTGCTGGCTAACAGTTTTTTCTCAGAAACCCAGGTTCTTTCTAATTTTTCACTGTGCTAACATTCTTGTAAACTATTCCTTTGATAGCATTCTTACTTGTTCCCTTATAATAACAAATTCCTAGAACGGGAATTGATAGGTTAAAGAATTTCTTTTTGAGTTTTAACATGCACTGCCTAATTGTGACAGTGATTTTTTTTTATTAAGATCATTTAACTCAGGCTATACATACCAGCTATTGTATTACCCTTCTCAGGAGCATCAGCAAACATGCGTTGAGGCACTAACTCAGATTCAACTCATTGGGCTCCGTACGCTCTTGGTCTAAGCACCCTCCTCTCCTAACAAAGTTTTGAACTTTCTTAAAGGTTGTGACCACTCTTGAAGCCCTGATTTTGCTGTTTCATTTGTTCTAGGCATTTAAAACAAGAATCAGCAACATCCCTACAATCGAGAAGTTCCTGCAGCCTGGGAGTCAGCGGAAGCCACCCCCGGACAGCCACTACATTCAAGTGGTCAGGCACATTCTGCAGTTCTGACGGCAGTGGGTCTTGAATGGAAAACGGTCATGGTCCAGTTGCAGCAATGGCAGTGCCCGAGCTCACTGTGGATTCTAGGTGTAAAATGTTTGAAAAGAACAGAACCACACTGTCATCAACAGCAAATGTCCATTAAATGCAAAATGAAACCATCTGGATTTATGAATATTTTTAAGCTTGTCAATTGTGGATGGTGGTTGCAACTTGTCTGAGACCAATGTGCAAGTAAACAGGAGGCTGGTATCTGTCAGGCGGTGGCCCACATGGGGCCCTGTTCTTGCTGTCTGTATCCAGATCGCATCCACTGGTGGAAGGGCGAGCAGAGCTTTGGGGGACAGGGTCTTTCCAACACCCACCCTGATGCTGTACTTGGGACAGAAAAAAGTGACAAGTGACAGGTCGTCAGGAAGGGGATGGGTGACACTAGTAAATCCTAAGGGGAAGTGTGGCGGACAGAGACTGTCCTGGGAATACCATTTTGAGAGTCTGGTTAAAAAAACAACAACAATTGGCAATTAGACAACCCTATTCCACCTAACATAGCCACCAAGACTATGGTCTTGCTTTAGTGAAATCATTCCAAGTAACACTGAGATTAAGATATAACCAATGAATATTTATATAAATTAACCCAAAGATTCTCTTGATTTCACATGTTTTTTAAAATACATTTTCTTTAAGGATGATAATTGTCTTCCTGAGTTGTGGAAGTTCAGCCACACCTCAAGGCCCTGGTGAGGGATGGGGGAGCTGAAAGGGGGCGATGTTACAAGCACAGATGTGGGTCCTGGTGGGCAGTCGCTGGTCTGGAACACGGCTCCTGCCAGTGGCTTGGGGTGCAGATTCCACCAGCTCTAAACTGCTGTTGGATGTCCCGCGCAGACTTGATCAGATTTTGAATGTGTGTCCATGTACATTCTCACTTATGAGATGACCTAATATCTCACCAGCCCTCGGGGCCACCACAGGACATGACCTGCTGATACCACACACTGCCCCACTCATTGAAATGATGGACTGACTCCTCAGCAGAGTTATGACAAACTGAGTCATTCAGCATCCCCCACTCCAGCCCCCCTGCCAAGGTCCTGCTACCAGTGTGGTCAAATCCCAGCCTGGGGATTCCATTTAGCTAATCATCCATTGTCATTCCTGCTTTAACAAAGCCAAGGCCAGCTAACACGTGATGAATAAGATGGAGGGGTAGGAAGGGCTTCTCAGAGGAAACCCTGCCCCCGACCCTTGCTATGTGAGATGATTATTTCCTCTGACTTCCATCAGATCCAAGAGTCTGATCTTGTAGAAATTAAGTGGAAAAAGAAAAATAAATTATTTTTTAATGATTCAAAATTGTAAGCCAATTTCTTGGTAAATAATTCATATAGTTTAGAAGCCTTATGTAGTGAAAAATAAAATCATTCCCCCACTCCACGCCCAGACAGTTCTTAAAAACAACCACTTCCCAGGTTTTCCCTCCTTGCCCAGCTGCCTGAACAGGCTCCAGGCCTGGACCCAAGCTGGCACACGCTCCCCAAGCATACCCCAGTGGCGCCTGGCAGGGGCACAGCCAGCCAGTTTAGAGTTTCCCCAGTCAAGCCAACTCTCACCCCACTTTCCTGGCTTGGATTCTGTGTTCATCACAGCTTTTCTTGGAGATTTTTCTCCAGGGCTGAAGGTGTGTTGGCCCACCATCAGGAGCATTGTGATCCTCCTGGAAATTATTTTCTCCTTGCAGAATAACATATCTCTGGTCTGTATACATGTCTCGTGTGTGTGTGTTTTGTAGTAAAATATGCATAACATAAAATCTACCATTAACTCATTTTTAAGCCTGGCCCTGCTATTCATCTCAATAGCAGAGGAGGTTCAAGGGTTGGGATGAAGCCACGTTGCTACCAGACTGTACCGAACAAGAAGCTGGCACAGTGGGCGTGGCATGGCACAGGGAGCTCTCCAGGCCTACTTTAAGTGGATTACTTATTCTCAGGGCTCTAATGTTCCTAGAAGTAGCTGCTATTTCCCAGTAGTGTAAATGTCTGCCCGCCCCGCCCCCCCCACACCTTCATCCCTCTACAAGTACAAAAGAATTCAGTCATTTAGTCAATTCAATTGTTTTTCTTTTTGGGACTTGGCGGTCAAATTTAAAACTATAAATTAGTTGCATGTGTTACTTCCAGAAGGCATCACAGAGAATAGCTTCATGTAGTGATGAAGCATCCTGTCAAGTGTGAAACAAGACAGAAGAATCATAAGACTGGAAGAGATGCTGGAGTTGAATCGCATGACACTCCCAGAGACACATGCAGCCTCGGGGAGGGACAGCCCCGGTCTCTCTCAGTGTAGCCCCCGACCAGTAGCACCTGGGATGGTGTTAGAAATGCAGAGTCTCAGGCCCTGCCCCAGAACTACTGAATCAGAATCAGCATTTTAACAAGATTGCACTGTGATCTGTGTGCCTGTTGAAGTTTTCGACACAGCTTTGTATTATCGTTCATCTTTCCAAGTCTTGGATCCCCAGAGAGAAAGCCATTTTCCCGAGGTGTGGGAGTTTCCTATTTCCTTTTATCTCCCGCCTGCTGTCTACACTATAGGCACTGTCAGACATTTACTTTAAGGGCAGCTTCAGGGCCCTGCCTCCAGCTCAAACAAACCAGACACAAAAGGCACTCAGGAGTAGTGTTGCTAATTTTAGGGGGCAGGGGGTGGGGCAGGGGGAAGGCATCCAGTTAAATTTGCATTTCAGGTGAGCAATGAGTACTTTTTTAGTATAAGTATGTCCCAAATGCTGCATGTATCCTGTATTTTATCTGGCAATCTTACTCAGGAGTTGAAGTCCTGGGCTGCCCTCTCCACACTCCCCATCTCCTCTTGCTTTATGTTTGAGACACTCGCTTTCTTCCGGGGGTGGTGGCTTTGGTTCATGCTCTCTTCAAGTCCCATGTTACGGTTGGCTTTCTCTCTGCACTGTGAATGAGAGGCGCATGGTGAATACAGCAAAGGCTTTGACATCAGAAAAACTTGGAATCTGGTCGACTGGGTGAGTAGGAAAATTTATCTTTCAGATCCTCTGTCTCTTTATCTGTAAAATAAGGGAACTGGTTTTTTCAATGCCATATAGATAGTGCCTGGCACAGAACACATCTGGTTGCCCAAACTCCCTGGCTGCCCTTGATTATCTCTTGATAACTGGATCCTTGCACAACCCTGGCAGGCACGGCCCCAGTGTCCTTGGGTTCAAATTCTTGTCCAGCATCAACTCCAGAGAACTGGATGTGAGCAGCACTAATGATGCAAACAAAAGCCGTCTTTCCATAGCATCTGTTACTGTTCGGCCATGAATTTCAGCTCAATTTTGGCAGTTCCTGAGTTGCAAATTTAAAATGAGATCCTTCATTCAAGTTGCTGCTAAGAAAAACATGGTAATTATATGGTGGTTATTTTTGCAACTACAGCAACATTTTGCTTGAAAGGAAATAGTGTTTAGCCATCACCAAGCAATGAGTGTTCATTTTGGTGGTCTAAGTCGCATTTCCAACTAAAACACGTTTGGGGGATTGTAAATTCCATGCATTACCCAAAGAGCAGGTACTTTTTCTCCCTTTGCTCCTTTTAACCACTACGGTGGACACCACTAGAGGTCAGCAGAGGCAAGAAGGCACATTCTATTCAGATGATAGGACATAGAATTTTCTGTAGTATTTTTTCCCTAAGGGGGAAAAAGCTGAAATTGCTGTATAGGTTTAATCTTCATTTTCACTAGGCTTATTACACATAAGTTGTATGTATATTTGAATATTGAGGTGGATGTCTTCCAGGGGGGATTTTGGAATCAGTCTTAAACCTAGAGGACTCTGATTCATTTTAAAATAAAATGAATAATTGATTAATAAGTGAAGTCTTAAAAAGAAACTAAGAACTAAGAAGAGATTGAAAAGACAGGCTGGTTACTTTGTTAATAAAGAAAAAGGGGGGACTTAAATAACAATAAAAGAACCCCCTGAAAGATGCAGGGTTGCAAACTAAAATAGCTGTAGGGGGCAGGTGGCCAGTGAGCGCGGTGGGCCAGTGGGGGAAGTGTGTGGGAGTGATGGGCAGTGGGCAGGGCCCCAGGCCCTTGGCAGATGGTGCCCACTGCTCAGCTCCAGCCCACTGCTGACATAGCTGAGCACGTCCAATTGCCCTGTTTCTGTTTTTTGAAGTTTTATTAAAGAAGCTAGATATCTGGATATTTATGTGAAATCACCCTATTTTCAGTGTTGGCTTCAATGTTTAAGAAGGAATGGGCAAATTGAACAAACTGGGACAGACGTGTGCCCATCCATGAGTGACCATTCGGAGCCTCCCTCTTATCTTCCTTTACTAACATTGGGAGGTAGATTAATGTGTTCAAGAACAGGCTCCAATTCCCAATGTCCTTTCTGGCTCCCACCTTGTGAAAACTGTTCAAACTTCCTAAGCCCCAGATTTCTCATCTGTAGAGTGAGGATGATGGTGGTGGTGTCAGCATCAAAGGAGGATTGTAAGGATTAAATGAGATGATGAATAAAATATCAATTTGCAAAAAAAAAAAAGCAATTAACATTGTCCCTGACACAAAATTAGTTACTTAATAAGTCTTAACTAGTATAAATATTTTCAACATTGACTCATTCATTTAAGAAATAGTTTTTAAATGCCTTCTATTGTGCTGAATGCTGGGTTGGCAATACAGTGGAGACTGAGGTAGCCATGGTCCCTGACCTCATGGTGCTCACAGTCTAACAGGGAGGATGGTCAAATCGTCGAGGATAATAACAGTCATAACTCCAGTGATGATGATGGCAACAGAACAGGTTCCTGCAGGCGCTCATGCCCGGAGCTGGCAGCCCAGACCAAGGGGGTCAGGGAGTCACAGCACCTAAGTCCTGTTTTGTTGATATAATCAGGTTTTCAATGAGAGACTGACAGTTTTTTTTTAATTAATAGCCACTGGGTGATATTCTTTATTGTGAATCTTTTTTTACTTGTCTAAATTTAGCCTTCAGCTATCACAAAATTGGGCATTTCCTCTTTTAAAAAAATGTTTTATTGATTATGCTATTACAGTTGTACCAATTTTCCCCCTTGCTCCTCCTCCACCCAGCACC